AATTTGCTTTAATTTACGACATTTTGTGCTTGCATATTAATTGACATGAACGGTTTAAACGACAACGGTTTATTTTATTTTTTGCTATTAAGGTCTATTTACCTTACGGCAGTTATTTACTGTCCTATGCTCTTGAATAATTTTGTGACGTGTTTTAAAACTCGTTTACTTACGGTGTAAGAAAAAGTTACACATAGTAGAGGGTCCAATCTTAATTCATCATAAGTACACGATCACGTATATTTTAATAACGGCCAAATATTAGTTATTATATCATTTTAAGCACGTACATAACCAGCACCGGATCTATTATTTATTTTTAAATAGCCCCGGGTATGGCAGTTACACTAAGGTAATTGGACACATTTAGAAAATAAATTGGTAAAAAGGCGTAATTGCCTAGATACATAATTTTGTTTTAACTACACATTTCAATCATTTAAGTAAATGAAAAGACGCAAATCACATTTAAGTTTCTATCTTCTTCAGTTAAAGCTGTACATATATGTATTTACCAAAAATATTAATTTCCCAGATGACAATTACACAATGCTTACGTAAATTTAAAATAAAGTGAAAACGTTACCTCTTGTTTAATGTAATAAAATTTGAAAAAATGTTAAGCTACGACACATTGAAAAGAAATTGTAACTAAATGCTGCCCTTTCGTCTTATTATTACACTAAAATTAACAATAGTGTTGTAATTATGCTAAGCTGAAAAGGTAGAAGTGGTTACTTGCGCCCACCTTACCTATAATAGTATTTAGTATTTTACGAATATTGTTTTACTACGATGAAAAGGAAAAAGGTTAATAATTTGATAATTGAGCAAAAATAATTAATTATTTTATTTTTACATTATTATATTGCGTTTGCAGCAAGTGTCTTTGTCTTTTCGTTTGGCGATAGCAGACATTTTTAATTTTTTTTTCTTTGAACATTATTTTCTCATATTTGACTTTTTGTCAGAAGCGGCCTTTTATCTAAGGGCGGTAGTATAAGTTACACCCAAACGTACTTGAGAATTAAATGTAGGCTATACAAATATTCCTCCCGGCCCGGGAATCGAACCAGGACCCTATGCGTGGCATGGTAACCGTTCGGCCGCGGAGGCAGATTATTGTTGATATAAAATACAAAAAGCATTCCTTCATTCCTTCGACCTGACTAGAATTGAATCAGTGTCTGTTGCCATGCCCGTGTCACCAGCTCTAATCAACAGTTAAGAGCGTTTTTTTTCCGCCGTCAGCGCACCTGTGAGGACTTAAGACGTTCTTAAGACGTTCCTCAATCAATTCACTTAAAAATTAAACTTTACAGTATTCGTAAATACAAGTGGTGTTTCAAAATTTAATGTTTAAAATACCACGTCTCTCCTTAATTTAGGAAATCGCTTTAATGAAAATGGAAAATCAACACGCAAAGTTATTATTGGATATTGAAGTTCAACGCAATAGGCAGATCACTAATGCTCAGGAAATGGATAAGTATGTAGAGAAGGTGCGCAACAGAGAGAAGGAGCTGGATGCCATGCAGGAGAAATACGACCACGAGTCACTTGTTACGACGAAAAAACAGAGGGAATTAGACACAATGCTGAAGAAATATGCGGCACTGAAAGAAATATTTGATGTAAGTTACATTCATGATTATTTATTACACGCAATAATAGTGTACCTAGGTCCCTATTCAAAGTGATTAAATTTTTTAACAAAATTGGTGACTAGACGTCACCAATTTTGTATTTGTAGTTTGTAGTTGCGTACACTAGCTGGTAACACCATATTTTTACAATGACATTATTTTACCGTTTTAGTGTGTGACTGAAAATTTGCCATGTATTATAAATATTTAAGAAAAAAAATAAAGAATACTGTGGAAGATGTCACTCAGCCATATACGAGTGTTAAAAAGCCATAGTACATAGTACCTAATTAGTATTTAAAGCGACTAAGTTTTGAAAGAAAATGTATTCCAGGGTAAATCTCCTCAAGAGGTTCGCATCAACGCGATGGAGCAGCAAATCCGCGTCTTGCGGGAGCGCACCGAGACACTTCAGCATGAGTGGCTCCGGCTGCAGGGTCATGTCGTGAAACTCACCGCGCAGTACCACAAGTGTGTCGCTGACATCAGTCTCATAAATAAACGTTAGTATAGATGCACTCCTCTTACATTTGGTAGGTTTTAGAGAGGTATTTATCACGTACAGTGAACAAAAATTAAGTTTTCTTAGATGTAAACGGAAGCATTTAAGCAGGTTTATTATAATAATGTTTAACAATACAATTTTCTATAATGTTTTATGGTTTATTAACTTAGGATTCTATAAATTATTATAAATAAAAATTGGGCAGTGCCAACGTCGCTACAATAAAGTCTATTGTTTACGGAATCCATTAACATTTCTGATTGCAGAAATCCAGATTTGTGATCAGAAGACGATGGGCACGAATGCCCAGCTAGAAGGCATAAAACAAGAGCGTGCCAAAGTGGAAAGGGCACTGAGAGACCTTCGGGCACGTCTACAATTGTTGGAGAAAAATCGCAAAGAGGCCAACGATCGGAATCTGAATGCACACCGATATAATCTTGCTATCACGCACGAGTATACTGCTAACTTAAAGGTGAACATTCGTCGAAGAATGTTACTCTCGTAATTTAAGTTCTTCACACTTTCGATTAATTCCGGTTTTTTGATTCGCCAGGCGACTTTGTTATATGTTAATATTTTTTACAGGATGCAGAATGTCAATTGCTTGAAATGGAGGAAGATATCGAAAGACTAGATAAGGATAAAATGAACCTCACACAAGAATTAGATCGTGTGCAAAAAGAGGCTTTGCTTTGGCAGAGAAAGGTGTACCTTACATATGAAAATAAATAATTGAGAAAGTTAATTAGTTATGTAGGTACTTAACATTATTACATTTTTAATGAAATATATCTTGTAGGGTATTCTAGCTGTGGAGCTCAAGAGAAACATAAAGAACGCTCAATCAGCAAGCGGTGAAATCGGACAAATGAAGAATGAGATACATAGAATGGAGGTAACAATATTTAAAAAATAGAGCAATGCTGCTTTTAAGAGCACCGTCACGGGTTATCCAACCTATATCCGGATTATGATGTTATTCAGGTGCGTCGTGAACAACTTCGCCGTACTAGTGAGAAATTGTCCGAAGACCTAGCTCAATACGTGATTCGAAGAGACAATGCCGTTGAGAAGAACAGAGCCACGGCTTCCGTGGAGGCCGCTCGAGGCGCTTCGATGAAGACCTCGCAGTCCCAGTACCATCACAAGTTACGCCTAGCCAGAGCTGATGTTGCGAGAGTTACCAAAGTACGACTTGTTTACCTATATTGTATTCATCATTTCAATCAGTGTTAATTAGGATTTCTATAAGGTTTTTAAACAAAAAATCGCTATGGCGTCCATTTGAAACTAGTCACTCATCCAATAACAACACTATATACAGTCGGTGCCCTCACTTAGGATCCACTATTTGTATAGCACTTAGTACAAATAGTGGATACCTAAGTAAGGGCATCCACCCTACCTAGCTCTGTTAGTATATGTATATTGTCGTGAGCAGGACCTGCAAGAGGCAAAGGCGCAAATGGAGCAGTTGCATAAGGACTACGAGCGTCTGGAGCGTGAGGCGACAGATGCTAGTGCGCTCAATAACCAGCTGGAGGAACATGTCGCGTCGCTTATGCAGGAATGCCGCGATGCAGAGATACAGAAGCAATGGGTCAGTAGTTGAGTTCCATATAATATATTCGTGGTTAAATTTAGTAATAAGATTTGGGTACGGGGATATTTTAGATTACAGATAGAATCTTGGAAATATTTTCTAGGATGCTTTTGCATTCTTCGTTACAACTTGCCTCTCGACCTAAACTGTGCGCTTCAAGTAATGTTACTTTTCAGTTGCTGGAGCGAGTAGTACGCAGTCAGCGCCTCGGTAGCGAACTGGGCATCGCGGTCAAACGCCAATCGATAAAAATAAAGAAACCTTCAGCCGCTGTATTGGAAGAATACAGCGAAGCAAAAACGCTCAACGACAAAATTAAGTACATAGTGGATGCTTTGAACACGGACTATCCCCATTTGCATGACAAATTTGAAACAATATTAAATACATTGGATATCATGTCCCCGGATGCGTCACCCAGGTTGCTTGAACAGGCACCCTGTGACCCTGGCGCAAAAGACCCTGGATGCAAGATACACACAAGTGAACCTGCTCAAAAACCATACTGTGCCTGTCCAGGAATAAATGAACATATTGATATGTAACTATTTGAAAGTAGGAATTCCTATTTTAATTATTTTTATCAAAATGTCGTATCAAAATTAGTTTACTTCGAAAGGTAAACGATAAATAAATAACATTATTTTATTTAAAAACCTTAAATAAAACATGGTCAACAAACACCAAAAACTATTATCCACTGTTATGCTTACCGATTTCTTATCCGTGGATCACCTGATTTGTTCATTTCGGTGGACCACGGGCAATCCAAGCTCGATCGATTCCAAAGAGAGTTGAAGATAGCCGCCACCTACCTACCACATGTGGCGGCATTGTCTGTCGCTTAATAGGAAAATAATTCTAAAATTCGTAATATACTTTAATCATGACTTTTCATTACATTGTTACATTACATTGTATCCAATGATAGCTTATATTGTAGCTACGTGCACGCTCGCTTCGTTTGCTCCGCTCGTGCTGCTTTTTCATATACTAACCCGTAACCTAACATACTGAATGAGATCAATATCAAAAAATATACTGTCTATAAATGTCATCAATCGTTATAATGATAAAAAAAGAGGAACAAATATTATGTTTTTTATAATATCAAATGACAGGACGAACAAGTCGTGCGACCTGAAGGTAAGCTACATGCCTGTCCATAACAGTAGCAGTGCCACTGAGAGCTTTAAATCGCAAAGATTTGAGGGGCACTGCTACGGCACCTGTCACCATGAGAGGTAAGTTGACGAGTCTCACGTGCCTGTCTGTTATTTCACCAGCAACCTTACCCTTCAAAACCGGAACACAGTAATGCTGACATTACTGCTTGGCGGCAGAAATAGATAAAGTGGCAGTACTTCCCTGGACGAACTCTTTCTTTTTTCTTTGAATTGTTGAATACCAAATATTAATTTAGTATGGTTATAATAATAGTGTTAAATGCAGTTCATTTATCTATAATTTATTCGTAGATCAACTAAGATGGAACAATTAATATATATATCAAACATAAAAAATATCGGTTTTTTAAAAAGTGCACATTTGCAATAAATCAATTATTTCTTTGAGGATCATTAACTCTCTACATAACACACACACATCAGTAGACTTCAAAAATCCTTTTACAAGTGATATTCCTTAGATTGTGTTGTTTGGTCGAGTGTGCACTACGGAATTAAATATAATATGCAATATAATTTCGTCAATAATTTTTGTGATTATTTATAAACATGATTAGCTTATTTTTCAGCCTTTGCGATATGTGAATCCGAGTGTGACGCATTGATAGTATTCTTATTACTTAACTTCTTACATGTAAATGTCTGATAATTTTTTGAGCATCCGGAAGTGAATAATATAAAATTGGTTTAGTGAAAGCGGAACATTATAAAATGTGTCAAACGAGAGTAGTAGATTGTACAACAAGTGCATAAAAGGCGTCATTTCACCCGAGACGAGTATATCCAAACTTAAGTCGAGGGTAAAATGGATTTTATGAACGAGTTGTACACTCTGCTTTTCACTTCGATTGCGAGGAAATTAAACAGCAATATTACAAATAAACGATAATTTAATTAAAATTGAATGTAAAATTACGACAATTAGACACATTTAATGTGATGGTTTTTTATTTTATGCACTAGAGCAAAAATCCTATTTTATGCTGCCTACACCCAGCATAAATACGAACTTTGAGGGTCGTATTCCAGAACTCTACTCAATACTCAAGTCAGGACTTGAGTATTCAAGTGAATACTGAAAATCATACTCAAGGCCTTGCCCTTAGGGTCCTATTTCCAGTGCTTGATATCATACTCAAGTCTGCTCAAATCCTGACTTGAGCATTGAGTAGAGTTCTGGAATACGACTCTAAGAGCATGAGAAGTGAAAATAATATTATCCCTTTATTTATTACGTCATGTCTGCTTGCCGCAACTGTAATGCTGTTCTGCGCGTCAATTTTTCTTTTCTGTGACACTGCAGTTAGCTCGCTCATTAGTGGCCTTGACTACGCCACTAATGGGCGAGCTGCCAGCTCTTAACCCGTTACAAATAAACTAAAACTAAATTAAAAACTAAGTAACGTTCCTGAGAGCGCCCAAGTGGGCATGGACCTCGGCGCTACTGGGGACTTCCGCCAGAACGGCGTGCTACAGGAATGAATCTATGCAAGTACTTAGGCCATAACAAAAGTTTCTGGATTCTGATAAGTAAGACCAGATATATTATATTATATTTAGAATAGATTTGTTTTTCAGAGTATATGTACTCACTATTCACACACTTTTGCATTCATTGGAACCATTGTGAAAAACAGTGGGACCAGTCTTCCGTAGGGATCCCTTCAATGGCTTGTAAATCGTTTTTGTAAAACTTTACACATACATAAAAATATATGATATAGTTTGATTCTATTACCTGGCATCCCTTTCTAGGGGTAGTTTAAAAAAAATAAAACAAACAGCATTTATGCTGAATCCCTAGTTTTCCCTTCATGTCAACTTGTCAGCCATAGCCCATGTGTCGCTTTTAATCCCTACTTTGAGTCTATAATGTGTAATATGGGAATAATAGTGAGTTATTCCCTTCGTGGAAAAAAAAATGCAATATAAGCAATGATATTATACTTGTAAAGATAAAAGTGATTATTTTAATAGCCTTTCAGAGTCGACGTAAGAGAAACAATTCAAAATCCGGTTATATGTGGTATTCATTCTGAAATCACTGGCACATACTCAAATTGTATAGGTATATAAAATCGAATTGGCTGTATTCTCTACACTACAATTGTTATTTTCTTTTTTTCATGATAGCAAGTGACGGAACAAACAAATAGTGCGCCTGCTGGTAAGCAACACGCCTGTCCATAACAGTTACGGTGCCAGTCAGAGCTTTAAATCACAAAGATTTGAGGGGTACCGACACTGTGCTCGTCACCCTGAGACATGAGTTGATTAAAAATACTGACATATGAAGAGGTTGTATGGTGGAACCTTTGCCTACCCACATAAATGGCGGAAATTTATTAAAAAAGAATTACGAAAATATATTTTACAGTTTTGATTTCGCTATTCGTTATGACAGAGGTACAAATTTTTTGAGAATAAGTACTAAATTTAAGTATTAAATTTTGGTATGTACATTTTTTGGTACCAAATATGTCAGGATTCGTTAAGATACACACGGTACTCTGAAATCTCAATATTTTGTCTTATTTCTCAGAAACTAACCAACAGATCGAGCCGGAGTTTCCTTTAATTCAGAGTACTAGTACTATTAAGGTAAAAATTTTTGGAATAAGAATTTTTATAATTAATAAATAAATACTGGTAATCCGAGGTACACCCGCCATATTGACAGTCAATACTTCGTTCTGATGGAGGTACAAATTTTTTAAACAGAGGTACTAAATAGTACAAATTAGGTATAGGGTCAAGAGTACGTTAAGCTTGACACTTAAGATTTAAATCCAACTCTATGCCGCCTACGATAACAACGGTCCAAAGTATGTACAAAGTGTCAAGTTTGACGTGCTCTTGACTGTACATTTTTTTGATACCAAATTTGTCAGGATCCTTTAAGAGGGAGCATGCCAAAAATGTTTTTACGTTGGCTCCGCCCAAATTTGTGAAACAATATACTGAAGTTCGCGTGACATGCGACAAGAGATGTTGAATTTTGCACATTAAAAGTACCAAATTCGTTTTAGCGGAATAACTCTAAAACTAAAGGGATTAAAAAAAATCCGTAGTGACAGTTGTCGATCATGCATAAATATATTAATTAATTATCTAATGTTTGTCCTAATAACCTGTAGTATTTCGAGGATAAATAGAAAAAATGTGAAAATTAGAGGTCATTTCGTGATTTTAATCTATCGAGGAAACTTTATTGTTTTATGTTTCTGATTAATCTATGCCCGCCATTCTGACTCTCACGGCTTTTGTTTAAATTATGAATACGATCTAAACGAATAGATTCGCTTTAATTTTAAATCGATTCGCTTAAAGTAGCATTGAAATGAACTGATTAAAAAAATCGCTAGATCGTATGCAATGCAATTGAATAGATATTCATAAAAATGGAGTCGTAATGTGCATCTCTACTTTAGTTACAATTTTAGACGTAGTTAACCAAAAAGGATCCAATCCACAAAATTATGAAAAAATGAGTTATATGTACATGCAAACCTTAGAGGATGGAAAAAAATAAAGGAAACGGTTGGTTCCTAAAGTGTAACGTCATAAATTAGCAAAAAAATCCAACATTTAAACATAAATAAATATCTCTGGAGTTACATGACATTATAAGTTTTGAAAATAAAACAATAGTGAGAAACTCTTTTAAACTTCAAATTGTCATATCTCCAAAAGCGAGTGGATGTGGATTGGATGCTTTATGTTTAATTACGTCCAATTAAAAAAGCGTGCAATTTGTTGCGTGCTGTTGGACCTGTGTAAGAGATTAAAATACGTGCTTCTAGGGTAGAAATACCATTTTAATTAATAATTACATTATATTTTACAATTATATTATTATATAATGTATAAAAATATCAACAATGGCCATAATTTTGAATTTCAATAAATGTTCTGGGGGCCTACTATGAGCTCCTAGAGCAATCCTATTTAAGCCTGTAAGTTGGATTGCCTGTCAAATTCGTACTATGACCTCACAAAAACAATTCACTGTCCATGCAGTTCACGTTCCCCATTCGAAATCCGTTCACCTTTTCTTTCATAGCAAAATCGTATCATGACGTGCCATTTACCATGAAAATGGCACGTCATGATGGTCATGATACGATTTTGCTATGAAAGAAAAGGTTGAACGGATTTCGAATGGGGAATAAGCAATACAAAAAACTTTTTTAGATTTTGTACATATATTAGATACATTTTTAAGAAATTTCGTTTAAATTTTTATTATATTTTCAGCTTCATAATTATTTGTTATCTTTATAGGCTTTTATTGTAGTTTTAGTTTCAAAATTGTCAATAAATTTTAGACATAAATTTTCCCATGCCTTTTTTTCCAGTCGATTAGAATAACTGGCGGAACTGATATCCCATATTGCAAGGTGTTGTTCTGCATTCTTTATAAATTTTTCAAATCGATTTTCGTCCATCGTAATTAATTTTAAAATTAACATGTACACCTTACTAACCGTGATGCAACCGAGCGCGGTTGCAGCGCTTCTAGAAATTGTATGAAAAGTGACAAACGCGCGGCGGCAGCGCTGCTGCAACGCGACTAACAGCGGCTAATTTGAACGCGCCCTTATTCCCATTTTGAACACAATCGGTTAATAGTGCTTGAACGCTCCCAGGATAGACATCTGTCTATTTCTTTCATATGATTTAGTATGTAGTTCCATCTCGCTCTTGTTAGATGTCAGCTAGCCAGCCAGAGACAATAATTAACGATTATAAAGTAAAACTCAATCATCCAGCCATGCCATTCCCTTTCAAATTTGTGTAGGTCATGATACGAATTTAAGCAATTCAGTTTTACCACGTTAAGTGAATTGTATGGAACTGGCTGGCCGCTTATAAGCTCATAGTAGGCCCTCTGTTTTCAACCTTTTGTTTTTATAGATTTTGTCAACAGATGGCGCAGTATATAATTTTAATGTCGCTTCTATTTTATATTCTCATATTTTCCACATTTAACGTTTGGAAAACAGAAATATCAAAACTTTCTACAACGTTGCTCTTTGTAAAAGAGGATTATCGTATTTACATTCATCGATGTCCGGAAAATACAGAATCACTTAGTGAAATTCCGACTTTATTTTCCAAATACAATGTAAGGTTTATCTTTAATAGATATCGTCAATGTGTACTGAAACTAACGTTAGCTAGGTCGGATTTTTATCCGTTAAAACTGCGCATTTCTTTATAATTTCCCAGTAATCTCGTACGAAGTCCTTTGAAGGCGCCCGTTTAAAATATGGTTATTAGTAGTTGGAAGGAGAATAAAAAGTTGATGATGTAAAAAGTATTTTGTACGACGCCTGAGCAACGACGACTGTATGTGACGTCATACGACAGCTGAAGGTAAGAGATGTAGGAATTTTTCGTGCACGGTGAACTCGTGTCGTTTACGATGGTCGGAACGGCCGAATTTCACTCCGCAGTACTTGCAGGCATGACGCTTCTCTCGTGTGTGGCAAATCAAATGCGTTTTAAGGTAACTGTAAAAAATACTTATTTAAATACTTAGAATAATAACGCATAGAATGATAGTTTCATATCAAACGAACTGTCACAAGTGAGGCGAAAACCAAATTCATGTAGGCGTAAGCAACTTGTACCTACGCTCGTCGGCACGCACGCAAATATACAAATAATGATGCCATGGAATAACATTTCCCTCAAAGGTGGGGAAATTGTATCTTGCTTAACTCATCATTAAGTTAAAGGTGCCTACAGATTTGCCCGACATTGTCGATCAGGTGCCTACAAATGAGCTCGATTTTGTCGATCGTTACTGTCGATCGACAATGTCGATCAGGTGCCTACAGGGGTATGCTCGGTTTTGTCGATCGTTACTGTCGATCGACAATGTCAAGTGCCAAGAATTTTCAAAAATTAATTTTTGGTAATCCTTATGGAAATGGCATTTATATCTAAATACACGATGACGGACACGACTTTTTCGCGCCTTTTTTTACTTAATCGCGCCCGCCATCTTGGATTTAGAAATGAGTGCCATATTCGTAATGAGCATCTCCAAATACCTCGAAAAGGATACACATATTGCATTTAAAAAAAAATTGTGTCCGCCATCTTGGATTTAGAAATAAGTACTATATTCGTAATGAGCACCCCCATATACCCCGTAAACGATACCCAGAATCAAAATCAAAATAATCTTTATTTCATAGGTAAGCATTATTACACTAGAAATCGTCACATTGGTTAAACTCTACCGCTCATTCGTAAGGCAGATTCCCCCGAGAAGTATGAGCAAGAAACTCTAGGGGTTGCTCTTTGTAAACAACATTTGTACGCATTTAACTTGCAGAAATGGAGGTCAAATGCACACTTACATTAGAATAAAAATAAAATCTGCAGCCATCGCGATATTGTCTATTCTCAAAAAATTACGTAATATAATTATTTTGAAACAGAATAGCAAAATTGGGAGAAAGAAATCCGTTACTTTGCAACATTTTCGTGTCTTGTTGCAACGAAATTAATTTTCGGTGTTAGTGAATATTTATATAAAAATACAAGTTGAAACGCGTTACTTCCTTGTGGAATGTGATGTTAGTGTCTATTTTATGTTTGCCTGTTCTATTTTTACACCCATTTACCGCCTGCTCTCCGCCGTGCAATTTGACCTTGAGCACTGACAGCTCGCCCGCTCGTGTAGGCCCTTTGGGAAGCCTCTAACTTGCCTCACTTAGCGTGCGCGGGCTAGGTTTCTATGCGTTATTATTCTAAGTTTAAATATCGAACAAAGGCCTTCAGCATTAAGAGTAAGTAAGCAGGCATGTGATTTGACAATTTAGTAGTGAATATTGAATATTTACGTGGTGAGAAAACTAATTTAATGAAGTTATAACTTTCATTAAAAGCAACCTTTAAAAATCTTTGCAACGTTGTTGTAACTATGCCTTAGGTTTCAGTTTAAGATTTCGAGAAATTTCGACAATGTCTAGGATGTATGACACTGACTTACGTTTTGGCATATTGGATAATCTAAGCAATAAAGCAAAATTACCTAGGTTTGAGAAACGTGCTGTCGCAATGCGGGCACGCAAACCTGTTGACTGTGCTGTGGGTCATCTGATGGCTTTTCAATGCAGTACTCGATGAGAAAAACTTGCCGCACGCTGTGCAGTTGTAAGGTTTCTCTTTGGTGTGAGTCCTGGGAGTAAACTCAGATGATAGGAATATATTATAACAAAACAAGTGGAAGCTCTAACTGGGAGGGACTTTGCGTTCAACATAAGTATAGTGTCAATGAAGAGAAAATAGGTTTTTCAAAAATCAGGTTTACAAAAAAAACTGTTCTTGAATTACATTGTAATGTGCTGAAGCAACGTGACATCTTTAGTAGGTCACTGGTTGCGTATCCAAGAAAATGTTGAGAAGACATTGAGGTTTCTTTGAAAAATCAAATATAAATATACGCGATTTATACTTCTATGTTCCTGTTTCACGATATGTCGCTAACCAGATGTCATCCCAACTACCTATCTCACTGCACAAACCAACCTAATCTGAGAACATAGATAATTTCTAAAAAGTTTCTGGAATATAGTCGTAGTCAACTAATTAGGAACGCGGTGGTCTGACTCATCTGTGTATTTTAATTTTCCTTTTTCAAATGTATTCCTAAATAAATTTGCTTTTATATTATTCAAAGTGAATTTAAATTCACTTTGTTTATGTGTATTCTTTTGTGTATGCTGATGACATAGCTATACTGGTAACAGGAAATTATGCCAATGTACTCTGCGACATTACACAAGCTGCACTCCGGATTGTGGAAAGATGGTGCAGGGCATATGAACTATCGGTAAACCCAACAAAGACGGAACTAGTAATGTTTACAAACAAAAGACTACTGGGTAACTACCTACTACCCAAACTCTTCAGTACAGAACTACAGATATCAACCGAAGTCAAGTACTTGGGAGTAATACTGGACAACAAGTTGAATTGGAACAAGCATATGGACAACAAAATTAAAAAAGCCACTATCACCTTCTGGCAGTGCCATAGAATGGTAGGTAAACAATGGGGACTCTCACCCAAAATAACACTATGGCTCTACACAGCAGTGATAAGACCCATGATCAGTTACGGCGCGATAGTATGGTGGCCACGAACCAAGCTGACGACCGCAACCGACAAACTGGAAAAATTCCAAAGACTAGCTTGCATGGCAACGACCGGCTGCATGAGGACAACTCCGACTGCGGCCCTCGAAGCGATGCTGGACTTGCGACCCCTCCCAATGTTCATTAGACAGGAAGCGGCGTCAACAGCAGTGCGTCTTAACAGAGCCGGCCTTTGGAAGCACATGAGGACCCCACATACAGAAATCCTTTATAAGACAGTCAATGAGGAACCGCTACTGGAGGCGGCTGTGGATAGGATCCCAAAACAATACATCTTCGACAAAAAATACAAGATACAATTGTTTGAAGATCCAAATGAAGGACTGAACCCCAAAGAGGTCCGCGTCTTCACCGATGGATCTAAAACAAATTCAGGAACAGGTACTGGGGTATTCTCAGAAGACCTCAATATCAGGATATCAACACCGCTTGGTGACCACAACACAGTATTCCAGGCTGAATGCATGGGCATCAAGTTGGCGGCAGAAGCAATCATAGCGAGAAGAGTAAAGAACCACTCCATTCGAATACTCTCTGATAGTATGTCAGTACTTCAAGCACTGAACAGCTATGACATAAAGTCAGGGCTCATTTATGAATGCCATCAAGCACTCATGGAGGTACATATGTATACAAAACCACTTAACTCTACAGTGGATTAAAGGACACAGCGGCTCACGGGGCAATGACGCAGCAGATGAACTAGCCAGAAAAGGGTCGGAGACGGACGCAGTAGGACCAGAACCCATAGTGTCCCTCCCCTACCAATGGTCCAAAACAACTATACACAAAGGTACAAAAACTTCACATAATAATACATGGACCACCCTTACGGTTTGTAGACAGGCGAGGGAAGCACTCCCAACGCTCAATGCCAGTCTATCACGAATATTAATTAAACTCAACAGGCAAGAGCTTCGCACTCTAACTGCCGCCCTAACAGGTCATGGTCCATACAATAAACACCTTTTCAATTTAGGTATCACAGACAGCCCTCTATGCAGAGCGTGCATGGAGGGGGAGGAAACGGCTGCGCACATCCTACTACAGTGCTCCGGCGTGGCCAACTACAGGGCAAAGTACCTTGGAGTGCCGAGGTCGCTCCCCGAAGTCTTCAGCAAACCGAGGAGGCTGCTGAGATTCCTGGAGGAGCTTGGGTGGCACGAGTAGGACCCTGCACCCACCACACGCAAAATAGGCGCCTTGTCGTCGAGTTGCGGACACCAGCCCGTTACACCAAGTACCAAGTACCAAGTAAGTGTATTCTTTTTGAAGCTTAGGTAAATACATAGGGCGCACTATAAGTTTCTGGAACTGACCACTTACATAAACAATACTTATATAAAAAGTAATTACAACATTTGAAAATGGAACTCTTTGGCTGTGGAATACAGTTTGTTCATCTGACTGTCACTTGTTTTTACATTGCGGCGTCATTTTAGAAATTGGTTGTCTACATCACCATGGATTTAACTCGTGAAAATTTTCGCAGTATGATTTTATACGACTTTTAAGTGTAATTTAACAGCTCGCTCGGCTTCAAACTGCTTTTGGCGATGAAGCACCATGCAAGACGACTTTTTATAGCTGGTTTGCAGAATTCAAACGCGATCGTGTGAATCTCAGTGACGAATTTCGTGATGATCGCCCGTCCATAGCTGTGAACAACAAAAACATCGATGCTGTGCACCGTATGATCAAAACAGACAGGCATGTGACATACCACGAGATTCGGACATCTTTAGGCATAGGCATGAGTCAAATACAATCAATACTACATATTTGGGTGTGTAAAAACTGTGCTCTCGGTGGATCCCACACAATTTGACTGAGGCTCAAAAAACGGATCGCGTCACTTGGTGCAATGCCATGCTTACGAGATTCAACGAAGGGGCGTCAAATTTGGTGTAGGATATAGTAACAGGTGACGAAACATGGATTTATAGTTACGATCCCAAAACAAAGCAGCAATCGAGCGTATGGGTCTTTCGAGACGATTCGGCTCATCTCGAAAGACCAACCAAAGTGGCGCGCGTGTAAAGTGCCTATAAGCGAATGATTGCTTCTTTTTTTCAATAAAGCTGGACACGTGGCTACTGTTGCTTTGAAGAATCGTTGTACCGTGAATAGCAATTGGTACACGACCATTTGTTTGCCGGAATTTATTGACACACTCCGTAAAAATAACCGTAAACGGCGTATCATCTTGCACCAAGATAATGCCAGTTCTCACACGGCCAGACAGACAAATGAATTTTTGAAGGTGAACAACGTTGACCTTTGAGCCATCCCGCGTACAGTCCCGACCTGGCACCTTGTTACTTTTATTTACTTCCAAAAATTAAGAACTAGTTACGCGGTCAACGATTTTCATCACCTGAAGAGGCAGTCGAAGAGTATGAAAAATATGTTTCAGAGATTGTCACGGAGGAGTGGCATAAATGGAGTTAAATCCATGGTGATGTAGACAAACAATTTCTAAAATGACGCCACAATGTAAAAACCAAGTGACAGTCAGATGAAACAAACTGTATTCTACAGCCAAAGAGTTCCATTTTCAAATGTTGTAATTACTTTTTAAATATTGTTTATGTAGTTTAACTGCCTCCGTGGCCGAACGGTTACCATGCCGGACTGCCACGCAGAGGCCCCAGGTTCGATTCCCGGGCCGGGAGAAATATTTGTATGGCCTACATTTATTTCTCTCGTGAGTTTGGGTGTAATTTGTGGTTGTCTATGTGTGTGTCCATGGCACCCGCGACACAGGGTTTCCCTAGTGCGGGGCTATGTTGAGTGTGCGCGTTATTGTTGAGTGTGTGCGTAGTGGCCAGTTCCGGAAACTTATAGTGCGCGTTATGTATAAAGTTTTATGTATAAAGTTAAGTATATAAGTGCATCACAATGCACTAGGTGCTATGGCTTACTGGGTTGCAATCGCTCACCATATGGTACTAGCAGAAAACCAGCACGTTTAGAATTCTCACGGTCTACAGTATTTATGTTGAGTCTGGACAATTTCAGTACAAACTATAATCGTACATCAAATTTTGTTAGGTCTCAGTAGTTCTCACAGTGTTTTATATAAATGTGTACTAAATTAATATTGTATACATATTATATTCCATGTGCTTTTGTGTTGTACTTTGTGCAGTGATTGTAGGGGAGAGTGGGGTGAATACGGACGCGGGGTAATTTCAGACGCAATCGTTTCTAGAAGTCTAGGTCCCTCCGCGCCCCGCTATCGCGATCTTTCGAAGACACCCACCATCGTAAGTGTGTGGAAAGTTGTCAAGGAGAGGCCGCACACGCGTTTCATAGTAAGTACCAAACACTTTTTTCATGTGTTTTGTTGTAATTTTACTTTCTTTTTAGTGCCATATATACGCTGCTGTTATGTGAGAATTAATGAAATGTTACGTTTGTCATCCATACATCCTCGAAACTGTAAGAATATGAAAATCGTACGAGCTAGCATAACATCAGAAATATTATGTAATTAAATAAATTACGATTGGGGCAATTACAAACTTGGGACTTGGGGCAAATCCAGACGTCTGTAGTAACCCCAATTTAGGTTTTAAATAGATTAATCTAAAGGAGACCGATACGCTTTAAGACAATCTTGGCCCAAGATGTAGGAAGATGAAAGTGGTATCAATTAACAGCTTATGTATTGTCATACGATCACTGTCCGCATTTACCCGACATGCACCGGCTAATTACGGCCAGAAAGCCTTTCGTTTTTCTTTAGCATTTTATATTTGTTGATTATTTAAAGATAAAAGATTATGGTAATTTTGTAAGGTTATAACCAAAGTTTAATTATAATTAAAAAAATACTGATCAATGGCTAAAAATATGATTTTTATTTCGATATTCGCTAAGTGTCCGCAATTCCCTCTCTCTCCCCTAAATGTTTGTTTCTGTTTGTATTTGTGCTGAGTAAACGCGTTATCTATCTATATACAAAAGTAAATATTAGGGAAAGTAAAGAAAAAAAATCGAGATGAACATAAATATGAGCATTGGACCTATACCCCCTATACCCCCGGTGGCAACGATTGTTGTTCTAAGTCAAAACCAACGTCAATTTAATTTCTTCACATGGCAAACAATATGTACGTACGGCGTCAAAGTAAATACAAAAATGAAATCAAAGTTCACAAAAAAAAAAACAGGTGACACACGGCCATCGAAACATCCAACGATGCTCATTTTCTGTGGGTGGGACGTGGGCTAAAGCCTATCACAAAGTTCAAGGCCATTTGGACTAATATCAATACAAGATCATTTTAGAGAAAACTACCCTATTATGGGAAACACCTATTCTATTTCAATTACATACATTCTTTTATTTTATTACATCATTATGACTGCATACAGTTGGGTTGCTTGTTATGCAAGCAAATTTATTCATGGCTTTCACTGGCCCAATACAGCATAAAATTACAATTTAAATAACCCTATATTATCCAACATTAGATGTGCTATGTATACTAACCTTATATGTTCTTGTAAATGGTATTTTTTGAAGAAGCTCTTTGAACAGAATTGACATAAGTGTGATTTTTCCATGTTATGTACTTGTCTTCTGGAATATAAATCAACTTTGTAGTACTAACCTTAAATGTATTTGTAAATGATATTTTTTGAAGAAGCTCTTTGAACAGAATTGACATAAGTGTGTTTTTTCCATGTTATGAACTTGGCGCCTGAAATACAAAATCAATTTTATAGTACAAAGTCAAAATGTATTTATAAATGATATCCTCTGAAGAAGTTCTTCGAATAGAATTGGTATAGGTGTTTTGTTTCAAGCACCAAGTTCATGACTTAGAGCCTGTAGAAAATAATAATTTTGTTTGAGAGTGACTTGAAGAACCATATTTTAAATGTCCTCTATTTTCCTGTCTTATACTTCAGACCTGTAAATTTTTCTAACCTAGCACTAGCTAGTGACTTTATTTATAATCATTTATTTCAATAAATTGCTATAATACATGGTGTTTTTCAGTAAACAATATTTAATTTTTATAAGTTTTTTATATCATACACAAATTCCACTCACTTATGTGCCGACATTAAAGGTTTTGTCCGGAACTTCTTTCCACATATATCACATTCAAAGGGTCTATCTTTAGTGTGTATCATCATGTGAACATCCAGTAATGATTGGTATATGAAACGACGGTCACAGAGAAGACATGGGAATCGTAGATCTTCAGTCCTGTGCATTACTAAAGTGTGGTCCATTAAACTTACTACATCTGGAAATTTAAAAGATACTTTCATATTTATAAAACATTGTTTATAAATGAAAGTAGTATACATGTCTCTCAATTCATTTCAACTATTTAATGTACTATTATATTATTTAGTATTATAATTTTTAACATTTACAATTATTTAATTGAAATTGCATATATCTTTCACTCTCTAAAAACAATCCCATGAAAGCAAAATAAACAGCACTATAAAAATATCTCTTTAATTCTTTTTGGGTCTTAAAGAGACTTGGTCCTGGCAAGTATTTGGTAGTTGTTACAACAGGTACTTGTTTTTCAAGAAAATGGCGTTTACAAATTGTAATAATAATAAAAAAAATATTTACTATAACTTACAATTAACAATTACATATTTGAACTATGATCCCCACACTAGGCTACGCCTGTCTCGTGGGAAGCAAAGCAGGTAAGATTAACTGAATAACAAAGTGGCTTATAGCAACAAGAATTAAGTTAAAAGGGAGTAAAATACAAAAAATAACAAAAAGAAAAAATAATCTAAGACGTAACTAATTTTAAGTCACTTACATAATCTAACAATAGCAATACTAGTATAATCTAACAATTGTAACTCACCTTTATTACAAATATCACAATGTTGCTTTATACCCAAGTGTTTGATCTTATGATGTTTGTATCGTGCACTGTATGAGCTGAACAGCTTATCACATTCTTTGCATTTGATACTCTTCCGCTCATGCACTGGTCTGTGCATAATTGCATGTTTTTTTAAGTCCCACACTTCTTTGCCACACTCTTCACATATCTCCTTTTTCTTTATTTGTTTTGGTCGGCCTCTACTTTTCTTTATGACAAATGATGCTACAATTATTACAACACTATTCAATAAACACTTAATCACTGGTACCACAACATGTATATGTTACAGGATTATGTGTACAGGAGTATTCCTGGACACATAATTCGAGCCACCTGGCATTTTCAATATTAAATGCCCTTAGCTTAAACAATGCTTGATTGATCAAAAACTATTATGCAACTTTGAAACAGGTATACTCATGGTCATTTCCTTAAGTCCTTTTGCACATTTGAATTTAAAAAACCTGTGAAAACTTTTTCTTCGATGATAACTATATTTTTATATTCTAGCCCTTTGAGGATAAAAGTGCAAGGTGGCTTGAACTATGTGTCCAGGAGTGTATATTACCATACCATAAATATAATTAAAAATTGTAGTCCTTTCAATATTCTTCTACTGACGATCGGGTGTTACCCATCAATACAAAAAATCAACACAAGGCCAATTGTGGGTTTAAATATGCATTTTAATTACAGAGGATTTTAGAAGATGGTAGCAGATGATGCTGGGGAACAACATGGAGAGAAAACTGTCAATTTTCACTTACTTATTTTTCTACAAGTTTATTATATGATTAAAATGCCACAACTGTAACTTGTCTGAAGGACTCATTAATGTTGTGGCTTATAGAAAACTCGGCACATAATGATTTGAACACTAATTTGTACATCACGCATTTCAATACTACATTCTACTTTCCCTATTTTATACCACATTCACAAATTTATTTATTTCTGTGAAACAGAAAAAGAATTGTATGGAAATAACTCTGACAGTTATTCCTTGTTCACTAGCATCACCAGTGTTTGGAAATAGTGGGCATCCCAGTCCTTTTTTTATTACCAATTACTCCATTTTTTGCTGGTGAAGACTCATATTTAATCTTCTTAATAACACTTAAAACTTCGTCATCAGATTGGCAGTCGGGAATACCATTTTCTGATGTCACATCATCTTCTGTTTTGATATCTGGTTCTGGCTCTTCCTTCACCGTAACATTGCTGCTATCAATAGTATTCAAAACATCGATCTCCTGACAATCTCTCAAAAATATCTCTAATTTATGACCTCTTATAGTCCTCAAGTATGCATCATTCCTTAAGGCAAGTGATTTAAAGTCATAGAATGATAGAATTTTTTTGTAACATTTTTTACATAGTTTTCTGCTATCAGTGGAGTCTTGTGAGATCTAAAATATCAATTAATTCCATTAGATTACAATTACAATACACATTGTACAGAAAAGCCTAGAACTCAAATTTTTTCATTGAAAGTACCTGAATATCCAAGCAGAACAAAAGAATATCAGCAAAATTTTGAGCATCGTCGCCTTTGTTAGTATTTAGTTCGTTTATGTCTTTATCAGGCTTACTTGCTAAACAAATTCTGCAAATATCCATTACTGCTCGTACAGCACTAATTAGTCAATGCATTAATTATTAATATTAAACTTCTCAATTCATAAAGCGAAACGCTGCGTGCTGGCCACAAATCTTAGGCTATTTTATTATTTTCCATCCTCTAGGCCACAAATCTAAGAGGATGGAATAGTATAAGCCACAAATGCTGTTTTCCAAATTTGACAGCAAAAATGACAGCTTAAGCCACAAATGCTGTTTTCCCTTAGAGGATAGTTTCCATAGTCTAAGTGTTTTCCCATTGTTTTCCAAATTTGACAGCAAAAATGACAGCTGGCAGCTGAAATGAAGTTGCTCCCCCTCCTCGTTCCGTTTGCACAGGCGAAGATCAGAGACCATACTGCCTAGTAATTACAATAGTTTCTCTTTTTCTTCAGTAGATTCGGTGTAAGATCCTGTTGAATGAAATAAGACGTTTCGTTGTCGCGTGACTGCAGAGCTTCTTCAAGCATGTAATTTAAATAAGCCCCAACACATTTTTGAAGCAAGTTGAAAATCATGTCTATGGTACAGTCAAGAACACGTCAAGCTTGACACTTTGTACAGGGTCAGGAGCACGTCAAGCTTGACACTTAAGATTTAAATCCAACTCTATACCGCTTAC